ATTCCTTGAACACACCAAGCACACTGCTGCCTCAGGACCTTTGCACTTACTCCTCCCTTTCCTTGAATCACCCTCTTCCCCCTATACCTATATGGCTGTGCTTTCCAGTCTTTGCTCAACTATCAATGAGGCTTGATCCTCTACCTAATACTGCAATCAACCACCCCACTTCACATGCCTCCTTCCTTGCTTTCTCATTCCCGCAGCACTTAACACCATCTACTGTACTATGCAATTTACTTATTTTGCTTGCTGTCTCTCTCCCCACACTAAAATGGGAGGTTCGTGAGAACAGAAATTTTCATGTTTTCTTTGCTGTGATGGTCTTCCCACAGAGAACAGCGTGTGGCATACAGTTGGTTTTCAATAAAGATTTCTTGAAAGACTGCTGCCCTAACTAAATGAATGAGTGAATATAAGACAGTATAGGAAAGAAAGAGAAAGGAAAAGAACAAAAAGAAAGAAGAAAGGAAAAGAAAGGGAAGGGAAGACAAGGGAAAAAAGAAACTTGCCCAAAGCAATGCAACAACTAATATGGTACAGCCAGCACTGTAAACCTCGTTGGCTTCAAAGCCCACACCATTCTATTATAGCATCAGCTAAGAAGATCCTAATTGAAACAAATAGCTTAAGAATTTAAATAAGCTTAAAAAGCAGCAGAATAAAAAAGAAGTAAGTAAAAGAGGTAAGCTATGAACACATAAAGAAGTTTATACTGTATAGTACAGGGAAATATATACAGGAGAAACTGACACAACAATGTAAACTATGACTCAGTAACGTTAAAAAAAAAAGCAGCAAGCTATGAAATACAATTAGGAAATGATTCAACCTAGAACTATTTACTTAGAATACAACTGTAAATAACACATTTTTTAAACTACAGAAATATATATAATTCTTTCTTTTACAATTACTAAAATTAAAGATAATTTTGAGAGGATCAGACTTCTGCTTTCCACCAAGATGGAGTACCAGGGACCAGATTTACCCTCTTGCCCAAAACAACTCCCTACTTCAACAAATAAACAATAAACAGACAAAAACATATGAGGCACTGATTTATAAGACATTGAACATCAGGAGAAGAAGGAAGGTGATCTCTGAGAGACAGAGAATAAAGGAAGTGAGACCCATGAATGCCCTCAACTAATGTCTTGAGAGAATGTCTAAGTCACAACATGGGGAGGGGAAACCTGGGCAGAACACAGCAAAGTCCTTGAGTTGAGGAGACAGAGCTGAGAGTCTTGAAGGAGAACAAGGCAGATAGAGGTCACAAAACAAAGTATCAGAGAAGAGAGAGCTACACATAGGGAGAACCCCAAGGATCTGTAAGGGGTGCCCACTAAGTATTCAGGAGAGGGTTGATGGGCACGCGTGTGTGAGAAAACTACCCAAGGCCAAAGAAAGAACCATCTCAGAGAATTAGAGAGAACAGTGCCGTGTACAAGGAGCAGTGCTGGTTCCTACTGGCCAGGCTAAACCCCCTCCCCGGTAATTCCTGGGGCATGGGGTAAAGTATTCTGAAGTGGGAAAATCATTGGACTTGAGACTGAGTACTGCTCTAATTATAAAAGGAAGACTCAGATGGAGCAAACTGTTTCCAAGTAACTTGACTGCATCCCAGAACAAAGCTCAAGACAAGTTATAGGAATACAAAATATGTGGTAACCAGTAAGGTTAAACTGACAACGTCTGGCTTCCAGTCAAAGACTACCAGGCACGTGAAGAAGCAGGAAAATATAACCAAAAGTGAGGAGAAACATAAACCATTTAAAATTAATCTGATGGATATGCCGGAATTAGACACGGGCATGAAAAGTTATTAAAAGCGTACTCCAAGTGTTCAAAAAGCTAACTGAAGACATGGAAGATTTTTTTTTTTTAAAAAGACCCTAGGCAAGTTTATAAGAGCTGAAAACTACAAAGTCTGAGATGAAAAACACACTAGATGAGATTAATGGCAGATTAGATATTGCAGAAGGAAGAATAGTGAATTTGAAGGCATAAAAATAGCAACTATCCAAAATTAAATACAGAAAGAAAGAAGAATTTTTAAAATTGGAAGGAGTGAACAGTGAGACAATCTCAAACAGCCTAACATATGTGTAAGTGGAGTCTCTGCAGAAGAGGCCAGCAAAACTGGTTAAAAAAAATATTGTCTGAGAGGGAAGGGTTTAGCTCAGGGGTAGAGAGCACGTCTAGCATGCAGGAGGTCCTGGGTTCAACTCCTAGTACCTTCATTTAAACTAAACAAATAAACCTAACTACTCCACTCCCCCCCCAAAAAAAAATCCCCACAAAAATAATTAATAAAAATATTGGCTGAAAATTGTCTGAATTTGGTGGAACTACACTCACAGATTTAAGAAGCTCAAAGCTCAATGAACACCAAACAAAAGAATCATGAAGAAAACCACACAAAGGCACATCATAATCAAGTTATTAAAACTAGTGATAAACAGATAATCTTTAAAAACAGCCAGAGGAAAAAGGCACATTATACACAAAGGAATAGAGGAAACAGATGACAGCAGATTTCTTGTCAGAAATAATGCAAATGAGAAGACAGTGGAGCAATATCTTCAAAGCGTTAAAAGGAAAAAAGTTAACCTAGAATTATATACCCAGTACAACGTCATTTAAAAATAGACAAAATAAGGAGTTTAGACATAACAAAAGCTGAAAGATTTTTATCACCAACAGACCTGTGCTGTAAGAAATGCTCAACAAAGTCCTTCAGGCAGAAGAAAATGGCACCAGATAAAAATGTGCATCTACATAAAGAAATGAAGATGAACACATGCATCTACATAGGATCTGGCAATGGCAACGCCACTGGTAAATGTATAAAATTTGTTTAAAAACTGGTATCTTTTTAAAACAAAAGTGATTTTTTAAACAAAAGTGATGACACTGTATTTTGTGTTTCACAAAATAGGTATGAATAAAATGTGTGGCAAGAAAATAGAGGGCAGGAGGGGTAAAACAGAAGTGCATTACTGTAAGGTTCTTACCCTACATGCGAAGTGGTGAATATTTTTTGAAGGTAGACTGTCAGTTGAAGACTTGCTCGTGAATGTTCATAGCAATTCATGCGTAACAGCCAAAAACTGAAACCAACTCCATGTCTATCCACACGTGAATGGATAAGCGAGCTGGTTTATTTACATAATAGGACATTACTTACAACAAAAAGAAATGGTACATAAAATAGACAAACAATAAGTTTGTACTGTATACTGTATCTCTTATAGTTACCTACAACAAAAAAGAATATGAAAATGAATATATGTATGTATATGTATGACTGAAACACCATGCTGTACACCAGAAATTGACACACCACCATAAACTGATTATATTTCAGTAATAAATAAATAAATAAAAAGTAAATAAACACTAAGATAGATTGCTTCTTTAAAAAATAAAAGAAATGATATGTTGATACTTGCAGCAAAATGGGTGAACCTTAAAATAATTATGCTGAGAGAAAGAAGTCAGACAAAGAAAAGGTACACACTACATGAGTACGTTTATATAAAACTCCAGAAGACATAACAAATGAAGTGACAGAAAGCAGACCAGTGTTTGTCTGTTGGTAAGGTGGGGCACAAGAGATTACAAAGGGGCACAAGGACACTCTTGGGAGTGGCGGTGATCTTGACATGTATATGTGTGTGAAACGTATTAAACTGTATACATTAAATATGTGCAACTGGTTATATGTGAATTATTCTTTTTTTTTGAAAGTATACATTTTTCTTTATTTCCATTTTTTTGCTTTGTTTTGCAAATGGAAGCACCTGATCTAATCTCTGGTTTCAAACAGTAAACTTGACTCTACTGCTCCATCTTACGTGGAAAGCTTTTCTTCATTTAAAAACAAATGTTTTTTTAATTGATGTATAGTCAGTTTACAATGTTGTGCCAATGTCTGGTGTCCAGTGTAATGTTTCAGTCATACATGAACATACATATATTCATTTTCATACTCTTTTTCATTATAGGTTACTACAAGACATTAAATATAGTTCCCTGTGCTCTACAGTAGAAACTTGTTGTTAATCTATTTTATATGTAATAGTTAGTATCTGCAAATCTCAAACTCTCAATTTCTCTCTTCCCACTTCCTCCACCCTGGCAACCACAAGTTTATTTTCTATGTCTGTGAGTCCATTTCTGTTTTGTAAATAAGCTCATTTATGCCTCTTTTTTAGATTTCACATACAAGTGATATCATATGGTATTTTTCCTTCTCTTTCTGGCTTACTTCTATATGTGAATTATTCTTTAATAAAGCTGTTTAAAAAACAATTTTGGACCTAAATTTAGGTTAGAAAACAAAATATTTCAATTATCTATAGTGTTCTTGTTCCATAGAGTAAAAATAAAACAGAGGAAAGCTAGAACAATATAATAGTCATAATTTTTTAAGAATTAGAATAGAGCATAGAAGCCAATTAATCAAATACTTTATTATTAGAGATAAAAGAACTGAGTCCCAGAGAGGCTTGGTGACTTGTGGCAGGTCTTAGAGCCACAGTTAGCTGCTTACCAGACTGTAAGATCCACAATGGCAGGGACTGTGTTATTTACTTAGGTGACCGCTGTACCTCCATATCTAGTACAATGTCTGAGACACAGTAGAAGCTCAGTAAATATTTACTGACTTATCTTTATACTGCAAAGAAAGGTAAAACGAAGATAAAAGGAAAGAAAATCTCCTGTGCGATATGACTGAAAATACCTCCCTATCTCTGATTCTCCAATCTTAACACAGATGAGAGAATTAAGCAATAGCTTTAATATCATAAATACAAGAGAATAAATACATTCTATATTTTTTAGCTTCCGGGATACTTCATTATATTCTAAGGCTTAAAATTTCTAATTCATGTTCGCAACTTTTACCCAAGCAGGAGAATTAATAGGAAACACTCCAATAAAGATGAGTGATACTTTCAAATGAAAAAAAAAATTTAAAGAAATGTGCTTACCAAAAATTTCTCCATTTTTGGCATATTCTGTCACAAGGTACAACATGTTTTTGGTCTCCATTACCTATTGATAAATAATTCCATATTAGTCTGATAGGCAAAGATGGTAATTTGCCACAACATTCTATGGAGTTACTTAAATTAAAACTACTAATAAAAATATCAAGTTATGAACAATTCAGAAGCTGGCAAAGTTTACAAGACTGATGATATTCTCATGCTAACACTTCTGCGAAAAATTTAGACCTTTGGTCCTCCACGTGTGGTCCACGAACCAACAGCAACAGCACAGCCGAGACAGTTGTTAAAAATGCGAAGTCCCAGGCCCCAGAGCCACTCACAAAGAATTAACATTTTAACAAAATCCTCCACCATTACGCAGATTCAAGTTTGAGTCAATACAGGGAACGGGAGTTTTTTGTTTGTTTGTTTGTTTTTGTTTTTATTTGTGGTGGGGGACAGTAGTTTTGAAGATCAATTTTTTACCATTTCCTCACTGACTCTCCGAGCCCTGTGTTATAGGGTAGAATAATAAAAACAGAGCTCAGCTAATCTGGCCTGTAGCCCAGCTCACCCGGCACAATGTGATATTTCTCCCAATGCACTTTAATGTTGTTACAAAGTACCAGTATTTTAAAACATCGTTCAAAAGCTTCTTCATAACCCCACTGCTACACACGTTTATTTAAATTAGTTTTTCTAGGTTCAGAAAGGAAGTGTGTCATTGCCACAAAGTTTGATTTTCCAAACTACACTAAACTGAAAGGAAATGAAATAATGGATTCAAAAGGAGTGAATTTTAGATGCTTCTCTGTAACATTCTTTATCTTTTTACATACTGGCACATGCTAATAATGTCATATTTAACTGCTACCTCCTGAAAGGCTAAAAACTACTTTTGATCTAGCATTTTAGGTTTATGACTATACCCTATTGGGCCAGAAAACTAAGAGTTACCTATAATTTGGGTCTAAACAAGTCAAAAGGTAAGTCAATATAATTGATTATTTAGTTCAAATAAAGAGAATTATCATGTGAGTCATGATAGTTTTTATTTGTTTGTTTTGTGTTTTAATTGAAGTATAGTTGAAGAATCATGGTAGTTTTAACCTCAGTTTGGCTTATGGTTCATCAGACTTCTAAGGATGTGATTAGTTTCTCATAAGTATCCACTTTAGGGAAAAATAAAGAGCTTACAGGGAGAAATCCTCTGATACAAATTTGACCTAAGAGGCCCACCATAGTTTAAGAAATTGTTTCTAAATTTCCTTAGGAATTGTTTTGAGTGGCACAAAACAGTCGCTTATTCTTAGCTAGTGGTAATGCTCTCCAATGGTCTCCACACCTTTTAAATTGTAAGTCTTTACCAACAAAGTTGCTTAGTCAAATGTATACATGAATGTATTTATGCATGTATACATAGACACACATATGTATTTATGAATATGTACATGCAGAGGCACAAATTGCATACTTATGCTGCTGTATAAATATTATATTAAATATATATATTATAAAATGCACAAGAAGATAAATATAAAAGATAAATAGAGTTAGAAGCTCTAATAGTTTCTTATTATGCCCCAAGGGACACTCGTGCTAACCAATTTGAGTGCACAGAGTGGTGTGTTAGTGCTAGCTCTCTGAGGGGGAAAAAAAGGCCCTGACTTATAAACCAATTTCTGCGGTGTAAAAATACTCCTACCATTGCTTATTTTGAGTTATTAACACGTTAATCGGCTCACAAACCTTCTGAAAATTTAACAATCAGCGCTCACAAGTCAGCCCAGGCTGATCCAGCCCACCACTGGGCGCACACATCTTACTTTGGAGATCGAAGCCATAGACTTGCATACTGCAACATTTTAAAATAGATTTCCAATATAAAATTTCTAAGTATTAATGGATAGAAATATTTTAAAAGGTCATTCATAAATATAAATGACTCTTTAAAAATATGAAAAAAATCTTCCTTTTAAAAAACATGGCTTATACTTGAAACAGGCGCAGTTTATTTTACAAAAATTATATCTTAGGTTAATTTTTTTTAAACTAGCTTATTTACTTTATCTGATAAAAAAAACTGAAACAAAACAAAGTTTGGCTCTAGGTATTATAAGGTATGCCCTTAGGTAATATATTATTTTAGCCTTTGTATTTCATAAAACATAAACAATATATTTTTCTAGTCAGCAAAACTGCAATGTCCTTATTGTTAATGGTACCACCACCCAAACCCAGCAGGTTCAAGCAGGGTATCATAAACATACAACTGCAAACTTTTAAATTAAATAACTTACAGTCTGAGAGACAACTTAAAATTAAGCTGCTAGTAGTTTTTGATTGCTTCACTTTTTATTTAAATAAAGAAAACTGGAGGTACTTAGCTTAATAAAAGCACATAATTATCTTTTATACAGATTAAAAAAACTAACATAAAAGAGAAAAAAAATGATAATGTAACACAGGGCACCGGGTATGAGAGGCAGAGAGAGAGAGAGGTGCAAAGCTACGCCATACCTGATACAGTTTGATGATGTGAGGGTGGTCTAACATTTTCATTATTTGCACTTCTCGGTAGATTTTCTCAAGGTTCACTGCATCCAGCTGAGATTTATCTATTATTTTTATCGCCACCTGCATCCCAGACACAAATAAATACAATTAGTATACAGTGGTTAACATTTTCCAGTTAAGCATCTTTTTAATAAATGACATCTAAGACTTCGCCTGTAAGTCACTATGACAACAATGGTAACTAGCTTAACTCCAGTGTGCGTTCTTTCATCATTCAGCAGCTATTTCTTAACTATCCACCATGAATAAGGCCCCGTGGTAGATTTCGTCTGGGAGAGTCTTTAGTGTGCTATGAAGAATAACCCTGCAAATTTACTTTAATAAAATACATTTCTCTTTCAGTACAGCTGTAACGCCTTCTTAGTCCATTTAAAAGCAAATTCCCAGCAGTTTCAACTTGCCATCATCCCACTGCAAATTATCCATAAACAAATGGTCGGCCAAGTAGAAGACAATCTCTATTATACTGAAATACAATTTTTCTAGAAAAGAAAGTGACAGGTTCCAAAGAATATAGATATACCTTTCCGGGGAGGGGGGGAACAACAAAGTATAAAGTATTAAAATCCATCTAAGTGAAAAAAATCCCAATTGGATTAAATTTTGCTTTAAAAATCAAAGTGCAAAGATTCAAATGTTAGTAATTATGCTGAATTTTGACTTCCTTAAAGGAACGTGACTGCAAAATATGTGGCCTTTTCTTGTCATAACTGGATAGGAACCCAAACCACTCCAAGGTTAATAATTCGAGGGAACTGCATTTGTTTTTGTTTTTGCTTTAATTTTGTTTTTTTATTGGCGTGTAGCTGACATACGATGTTAGTTTCAGGTATACAGCAAAGTGATTCAGTTAATACATATACATACATCCTATATACTATTTTTCACATTCATTTCCATTATATGTTATTACAAGAAACTGAATATGGGTTACTGTGCTATACAGTAGGTCCTTGTTGTTTACCTATTTTATATATAGTAGTGTGTATCTGCTAATCCCAAACTCCTAATTTATCCCTCCCCTGCCCTTTCCCCTTTGGTAACCATGGTTTGTTTCCAATGTCTGTGAGTCTATTTTTGGTTCGTAAATAAGATTTGTATCATTTTATCTTAGATTCCACACATGAGTGATATATATTTGTCTTTCTCTGTCTGACTTACTGAGGGAACTGCATTGAATGTGGACAAGTAATCAGAAATGAACAATTGCACACTTTTTGCATGCAAAAAGAACAAATTTTTAAAACTTGGTATTTGGTTAAGAAATAAGCAATTCTAAGTAAAATTTTTTCAGATAATTGGGAACCACCCAAACTTAATTACAATAAGCTCTGAAGAAACTCTGAAATGTACTCCACATTCTACCCAAAAGTCTTCTTAAAGTAATTCAGTCTTATGTTGTGGTTTCTGGGTAATATATCAATTATTGTATGTGCTATAATAGTCCAATATGTCTAAAAAGGTAACCAAGATGATTTCTTAACTCAGGTTGTCAATTCACTTAATTCCCTTAGACTTCTATTTATACAATTAGTTTTTTGTTCTTTCCTTACAGCTGCTCTGTCCTCTGCTGTCCTCCCTAAAGTTCTACTGTAAGGTTTATTTCTTACCTTTCTCTATTTCTATTTTGCTGCCCATAGCTTTTTCCCTAATTTGAACTTAATTATAACCCACAGAAGAACTCAAGCTTCCTGGAGGAAATCAGATTACTAAATATGGGGAATAAAATTAAATTTATTGCCTAAGAAGAAAGGGGGTAGCTCCTTCTGTAGGCAGTAAAGTGTGTAGATTTTGTGATAACTATTTTTATGATGTTTGGCAGTATTTTATTTATTCCCATAATCAAACTATTCTAGAAAGTAAAATGTACTAACCTTTGACGGCTAGATAAGTGACTGATCAGTGTTGTACTTGTTACTAGGAACATTCTTGGACCACCTCAAAACTAAATACATTTAAAAAGACTTCACCTGTCCAATTAAGAGGACAACAGAATATAGTATCGCTTTGGGTAATTTGGGGTAAAAGCTGTCAGATAAAAGGATAAGTATATATTTTAATTCCCTCAATATTCCTGAGGAAGGTAACATGGAGTTTCACAGACATGCATATTTTGAGGAAAATGTCTTGCCTTACAATTTCTAGAATGTATCTAGATACCAGTAACCCCTCCCCAAGAAAAAACTTTTACAACCAAATGATCATCTAATACATAGAAAAAGAATTGGAGAGAAAGGAATCATGGTTTGAAAAAAATCTCATTATGATTACTGTTATAAAGAAAATTTTTTATTATATATATTTGAGCATCATATTTAATGTTAGAAAAAGTTTAGATACTAAATACAATATAAGCAAGGTATTACCAAGAGATAATTTCTCTTTAAGACTATTGAAATCTTGGCCTCAAACAATGAAAAAGTGAAAATACATAAATCATCTAACTAAACTTTAATAAGTTATAAACCTCATTATTAAACTGTTCTCAGCCAAAAAAAATTCTCCAGTGACAAAATAGAATTCCGTCCTCACTTTTATCTGGGGCTGCAGACTATATGTTATGTCATCCACAGGCCTGTGTATTTATATCTTGACACTGCTGTCCCTTGTTTTAAGGCTGCTATCAGAGGATTATGAAAAAGCGGATGCTGTGTCAGCTTGCTGCTTGTGATAGTTAGGGAGAGTCTAACTGCTCTAACACGCAGGCCCCAAAATGTATACTGATTCAAACACAAGAGAAGTTGATCACTCATATAGCAAAACTGGATGGGTGAAGAAGTTAGCAGGTAGCCAGCCCCCTTCCGTACAGGTATATGAGGCTACAAGGAGCCTTCACTAGTTTTAACAGGTAAGCCAAGGTAGTAAAGGGTAAAGGGTAGATAACCCTGAAGTTTGCCTCCTTTCCAGCCAGAGAGAAGGAGAAAAAAGCTCTTCTGCAAGGTTTTAATTGGCCAGGTCTGGAAGTGGAACACAGTATTTCTGTTTGCTCCATTAGTTAAAACTCAGTTATGTGACCATACCTATATGCAAGGGAGGCCAAGAAACAGCCAAGCTGTAGGTCCAGGAAGAAGAGGAAAGTGAATTTTTGGTGATCAGCTAGGAGTCTTGGCGATACTCTTCCTGGTAATTTCTTAACAATGGGACTCTTTGCCAAATACTTCCCAGAAATATAATAACGGTGATGATGATGAATTTCACAACTGCACAGCACTTTTTAATTTAACAAGATACTTTCACACATTTTATCTCATTCATTTCTCCATTTTTTTTTAAGTACGTGGTACAAGCAGTACACCCATGAGATGATGAAACTGAAGTTCAAAAGATGTCACATCATCTACAAAGGTCCTAAAGCTCAAGTGAGTTAGTGGGGAGAAACCACAGGCCTTCTAACTCCAAGTTCCATCTTTTCACTCTTCAAAGAGCCTATTACTCACACATTTACTGAGCACCTGTTGTGTGCCCAGAATTATACCCAGGAAACAAAAATGAACGAGATCTGATTCCTACCTTCAAGGAACTTAGTAGGTCTGTGAGAAAAAGGAGAACACATTTTGGAAAACAAATTTTATGAACAAAAAATATACATTTGGGTGTTTCCGCAATGGTGTGCAAAATTCCCAACTTACAAAAGGGTTCATTTTAAAGATAACTATAAACTTAGATTTCTGGGAAATTCCTCTCTGCACCCCTTCTCTACTTAGCTCCAAACATAGTACCAAGGACAAAATCTGTATGGTCACAACAAAGTCAAGCAAGGGACTCTAAATTGAAGGATCCTTTCTTTGTTGTAGTTCACCTAAATTATTCAACTCTCTAATTATGTATGCAGTATCTTTAAAAAAAAACCTTCAATGAATTTATATGGTGATTAAAAAAATTAGCATTACTTCTGCTAGGATACAAAAGGAAGGTTTCTTATACAACTTTGGAGAGCATACTGATAAACTAAAATAATTACTATCAAACTAAATCCCATGTAAAGTAGCAACACTGAATAGTCAACCTTATAAATAGGAAAATGCACATATACCTAATACAATGTTATCTGTCAATTATATCTCAAAAATACCTTTTTTACTTATTATATTTACAAAGATTAAAAAGTAAACACCCTTGTGGGCTTAAGTTCAATGAAATGGCCACTTTTATAGATTGCTAGTAGGAATATAAAATAGGTTATAATTTCTCTGAAAGGTTATTTGGCAATCTTTACCAAAAAACTTCAAAATCATCCATCTCACTTAGTCTAAGATTTCTACTTCTGAAAAATTATTTGTAGAAAATAATCTGAAATGATGATAAAGATTTATGTGCAAATATACTCCAGTATTGTTTATAATATAAAAAGATAAACATAAAGCAATTACATGAATTATGGTAAATCTCTATTATGACTATTATACAGCTATTAAAATAGCTCCTTTTAATAATATGGAGAAATAGTTAGGTTAAATATTAAATAAAAATTCAAGGTATCAGTGCAGTCTCAACTAAAGTTATGTATAGAAAAAGTCCTGTAAAAACTAGATAGAAACATGACAAAAATGTTATCAGTAGGTGAAAAAATCATGAATTATTTTCCTGATTTATTTTTCTGTGCAATTTTTCTTCTGTGAGCATGAATTACTTTTCTAGTAAGAAAAAAAAGTGAAGTGGGGAGTTATAAGAAAAAAAAGAAAAGTGGAGTTGTATTTATTATATATGTTAACTTCTCCATCTGTGAAATATTAGTCATTTTCCTTTTCTTATTTTCTAAATTCTCTATAAAATGGCTATATTTAATAAGGTTTAAATATTAATTATGCAGACTATATACATAGAAGTGTTTCCAACCATGTTAAAAAATATATGCAAAAATAACAACTATGAAAAAAAAATCCCCACTAAATGAATAAAAAAGCAGCAACTATGTGAAACACAAACCTGCAAGGAAGACAAGGGATTAAATCTAAGAGGAGAAATGAAATAGTGTTAAACTGATGGATCAAAGGGATTTTTTTTCATTTTTCAAAATGTAAGTTTAATGGTAACATTATTTTTTGATAATTTTAGAAAAAATGATT